GCATTGCCAAGAAAAGTAATACAGCAGAGCATTTTATATTTTTGGATGAGAATATTATAGCTCTAAACTTTACTTTGGAGTCATCTGCCTGCAGCGTAACAAGCTGCTGGGTTCATAAAACATGACAGGAGAGAAACTTGCAGGACTTGTCGGCCAAGTGTTGGATAAGCTCCGAGCCGGTGGATATATCTTGGGTGATTTCCTGACTGATAAGCTTGAACCAGTGAGCCCAGAGCTGTGTGTGTGTCACAATGTGTGTGTGTGCCTCGGTCAAACAGAGGCTCTGCTGTGTGGATTTTAGACACAAGATTGCTCTTTTATTTATTTATTACTTTTTTTTTTTTTACCTCCTATTCTTGTTTTTTTTTTTTTTGCACTGCAGCAGCATGGAGGATGGGATGCACATACTGTACCAAGAGGTTACTGCCTCCCCTTACTAGACTGGAATGATAATGAGAAAGCATGCAGGCGGAATATTCATAGGCTGTCACATTACAGCCATTCTTGAAGAGGAGAGGGGTTTGCAGCAAGACAGAGATATGTGAGAAAACTCCAGGTTGGAGTCGGAAATGTTTGCTTAGGGGCTTTGATTACTATTAGTTTTATTTTTGCCTGGAGGGGGGGAAAAAAAAACACAAAAGTTTTATTCATTCAAATAAAGATGTCCAGTGTTGAAGCAGAGGGTGCACCTGTTGCAGAAGGCTTGAGAAAAACTTGAGAAAAAATGCATAAAAATATTTGAAAATTTAAAATAGATATATATTAATTATTAAATTTGAATTAGAATATTTAGAAAAAACAAAGAAATAGAGTATAATTTCTAGATAAAAAAAACGTTTAATTGATTATAAAGTTAATTGATTTAAAAACAACAAAAATCTCTATAAAAATTTTAAAGAATAAGTTAAAGCAATAATATTTATTTTTTTAATGCATAAACCCTACAAGGATAATCATTAAAAAAAAAAAACTTACCTTAAGATTCTCTATATTCAGAGTAGCCGACTGCTCCATTTTCCGTCCTTATTACATATTTCCACAAAGTTGTAACAAACGAGGATTTCAGTCCCTGAAGATAAAAGCTCTTTTCATTGTTTTTCGCCGCTGTTTTATTCGCAGCTGCTTCTCATTAAAGGAGACAGGCTGCAGGTGAACAGTTCCAGGTGCTCACCTCCGATACTCACTTTCCATCGGTTCGCTTCTCTTCAAAAAGTCAGCCGCCAGTAAGCGTGACGTAATCGTGCGCGGCGCTTCCGGTACAGGATTTCAAAATAAACACGTAAAGTCAGCCACGCTATGTTTAGTTAATTTACTTTATTGATCTCACAGTGGGGAAATTTACTCGTTACATCAGCTTAATTAGTCAAAGAAAGGAAGAAAAAGGTGACAGCTTTATACAGGGTGTTTACATGGGTATTTGTATAGATGGAGATTTATATTTTTATATATATATTGTTATTGCACAGGGGATTAAATAGTAATTGCAAATTATAAATTGCACAAGTTATTGTATTGTTGCATTGTAGAATCTGGTTGCAGCAGGAATGAATGACCTGCAGGCTCCTTTTTGCAAACAGGGTGTAAAAGTGTTTCACTGAAGGAGCTGCTCAGCTCCTCTGTACTCTGTTGCAGGGGGCTGCAAGGTGTTGTGCATGATGGATGCTTGGACAGCACCCTCCTCTCATCCTCTCGCTCTGCTGAGTCCAGAGGGCAGCCTAGAACAGAACTGCCTTTCTCACTTGTTTGTTCAGTCTCTTTTTGTCCTGCTCTGTGCTACCAGGGCCCAGCAGACGACAGCGTAGAGGACAGAGGAGTAGCCATAACATTTTTTTGTATATAGATATTTATTCAGAACATATGTCCAAATAAATCTACATCCAATGTACAATGGTGTTTTTCTTATGTTTGAAGCCTAATAAAAACAAAAACAAAAAAAGAGACAACAAAAAACAAAAACAAACCCACCCACCCCACCTACTCTCTCCCTGTAGAAACACATGTACACTGTAGTAGTACTATATTAAGCATTAACCATGCTTTTGAAAGGTCAGAATTAAGAGAAATGAGCACAACAAAAACATTGGAATAATTGAAACACAGGGAAGATCAAGTAGCCAGAAAAGTTTAATAAGGGAGGCCAGGCAATAAACAATGTACACTGAGGGGGCCCGAAAGTAGATAGGCATAAAAAACCTTTTCCAACAGGAAAACTAACGAGCAAAACATCCATATTTTTCTAAATAAAGACAAACTATATTTTCCCACGGGCTTTACTAACAAATAGACGCATTTATTAAAACTCCTGTGCCTTCTAGATAAAAGGTATAGTGAATACAATTCTTTCAGGTTTAAGGTGAACATATTTTCCATTGTCATTACTTACCTACTTTTATCAGTAATTATTCTGCATAAAATTTATATTCACAAGTAATAATATCTACATAAATATTAATATTAATATTACATTAATAAGTTTTTATTAAAATAGTTATTTATCTATGATTTCACTCAAGACTCCTAGATGACTTGTAGAGAAACATCTTTTTCTCTTTACACCATGAAACACAAAATCTGTTTCTGCTTGAATTCTGTACTTATCATCTTTAATGTTAGTATATTGATGTGCATAATTAACCAGAGTGTTTTTGTTTTCAGGTAATTGTTAATATGTCAAAAATGTAAATGTTTTGAAATGTTTTTTGTATTAGAGGGATGGCCAATAATTGGCTAAGGGTGGCCTTGGCCACCCCTGGCCCCCTATCTAGCTCCGCCCCTGGTAGAGGAGAACTGGTGCCACAGAGTCATACAGTAGAAGGTTTTAAGCAGGGGCCAGCTCATTCCAAATGATCTCAGCCTCCTCAGGATTACTAAACACTTTAGACAACACACACTTGTTTATACTAAAAGAAGCATACTTGTAAATACATACTAAATAAAGTGATTTTCTTTTCTGTTAACCATGGATATAATTTTGCTAAAATAGTTATTAAATTTAGTAAAATCATGAAGTTCAGGGAAACCCTTCTTGATTTGATTTTTCATCAACTTTATACTCTGTTATTTATTTGTAGGAATAGTTGTACAGCAAACATGCATTCTGAATTGTAAAAAAAAAAAAAAAACTAGACACATTGAATTTAATTTATGCCACTCAATGTTTAAATGAATGTGCGGGCTAAATAATAGCCTACCAACATCTCCTTTCATATTAGATAGTTAAACGATGGACTTTAATATATATATATATATATATATATATATATATATATATATATATATATATATATATATATATATATATATATATATATATATATATATATATATATATATATATATATATATAAATGCCCTGTCGAAATGCCCTTGTTGTTTTTGTTTTTCTTACATTATTGCACAGTTCTGTGTTAATCTGTAAGATTTTGTAATGTGTGTTTTGCTTAATAAAAGCAAAGCAAAAGACATGTTTTCTAAGGATTAAACGTTTTTCACTGACCTTCATCATGGAAAATTTGTATTTTATTTTGAAGGTAATGACTTGGATAATATCCGGGATACGTCTGTGAAATATATTTGCTTCATCCTGAGGATTGTGGCGCCTCACAGTTAGCTCAAAAAAGGTTTTTTTTGTTTTTTTTATGAGGAAATTGGAATTAATTGTCAATTAACATAAAAAAAACATGACCAAAAGAATATATATTTATTTTTTGACTTATTAATAAGATATATTTCACATAATTGACAGCCTTACAATTTCCCATTCTTTGGGAAATATCGCGCCCTGCAGGAGAATCAGTCAGTTTGGTGGAATTGTTTGTTGAATGGTCCCTAAAATTTAAAGTTTTGGCTTGAACGTTTTTCAGAAGTGTATAATCTTAAAATGAAATTTACGGGAAAAAAACAAAGAAACAAAAAATCATATAGAATTTTAACACAGTCTTTCAGATTCGCCAAAAAGAGGATAATAGTTTTTATTCTTGCCAAACCATAATTAAGGTCATTAAAGCATGTATTTGCACATGACTTCCAGTGAATGCAAAGTCCTGCTGGAAAGCGAAATCAGCATCTAAAGCTCTGGTCTGTAGGAGAAATGATGAAGTGCTTTACAACCTGCAGATACCATAGCTCACTAATTTACACTGAATCTAAAAGGAAACTCACAGGACAAATTTTTAGAAACAAGGAAACAAAAAAAGGTCAATAGAATATACTAAGAGAGCCACAGAACCAAGGAGCTACTTGTGTCTCTGGACTGAATTAAGTCAAATTTCCACAAAATTTTGTTTCATTAAAACTGTATTCGATCTAATAATAATAATAAAAAAAAAAAAAAAAAAAAAAAAAAAAAAAAAAAACAATTTTTGGACTGAAAATGTTCACTTTACAATAAAAAAAAAAAAATACAATTTAAAAGGTTACATTTGGAATAAAAGTTAATAAATATCTGCTTAAAGTTTAAATTAAGCTATAAGGTCGATGAAAGATCATATGATAATGATAATATTAAAAAAATATTATCACTTTAATTGTAACTTAAATAAAACGGATCAATTCAGCTGTAAGAAATGTGAGTATTTATTTATAATTTGGTTTAAATTAACATTTAGCAGAGGGAAACTGTGATCCTATATCGAACTGAAGCTATCGCCTTAATTTTAAAATCACAATAAAAAATAAATTTAAAGGAAAAAATAAAATAAAATAGGCCAAAGAGAGCAATCGATTACTATTTCTGTTCCAGCGCATTTCATCTTCGAAATTTTATTTTAATATTATGTCTTTAGTAAAAGGGTCATAACAGGGAACAGAACCAGTTCAACGGGGGCACTGGTCCCTTTAGGGCCCTGTCTAGAACCGCCCATGTGTACTACCATTCTATTTTTATCATCATTGTTTAGTTTCCTGTTAACCTCTCAAATGAAATAATATCTAAATATCGGAACGATATAAAAAAAAAGTTTGTATTTTATTGCAGTAACCTTATCCAGACGGCAGAGGGGAGCATCATCCTGAATAACCACGATCATCCTGTGTTCGATTATTTTTTAAAGGATTAATAATCAAATGTCGAGCAATTAATCCTGCAGCGCAAAGATGACAGACCCGAAGCAAATGATGGCACCAAAGAGGTATTCTATCTGGATTATTTGATCTTCCAGTGCCTGCTTATTTAGATAAACCTATTTGAGGACAGATGTTGGCCTACTCTCTGGTATTTACATTATATTATAGAAAAAAAACCGGAATTAAAATGTAATTATTATTATTTTTTTTTATCAATTATATAACAACCTCTTAAACTGTTAGTTATTTCCTATGAATTGCAGGTTCATTTTTTCTTTTTCCTTGTATCTGCCTGTTTCAGTGCTAAAATTGCAGCTGGGGCTGTTGTGTGTGTTGAAAGTGAAGTCAGAGGAGATGTCACCATCGGTGAGCCTTTTCTTTTAATGCCTAGGATTTATATTTACTTCATCCATGCAGCAAATATATGCTTTGCTCCCTAAGGCGCTAGAACAGTCGTCCACCCAAAAGCTCGGATCATAGCTGAAGCAGGGCCTATAATTATTGGAGAAGGTAATCTGATAGAAGAACAGGCTCTTATTATCAATAGGTAGGTAGAAACATCTGCATCTTTTTCAAATCTTACTCAATGATCATTTTGGTTTTAACCTTCTGCTTGTGTCTGCAGTTATCCAGAGAATATAATGCCAGACTCAGAGGGAGTTGAGCCTAAAACAATGACCATTGGGACCAATAATGTGTTTGAAGTGGGGTGTGGTATCCTTTACAGTTCCTGCTCATTTGATCATGTATGCAGGGGTGGAGCTTGATGGGGGGCCAGGGGTGGCCATGGCCACACTTAACCAATCTTTGGCCACCACTAAATTTTTTTTCCCTGTAATACTCTCAGGTGGAATATTCAAAACATTTAAATTTTTCATATATTAACAATTACTTGACAACAAAAACTCTGTGGTTTAATATGCACATCAATATACTAACATTAAAGATGATTAGTGCAGAATTAATTATCTTTTCAGAACTAGATTTTGTGTTATATGGGGTATAGAGAAAACACAAGTCATCTAGGAGTGTTTAGTTAAATCATACCTAACTATTTCAATAAAAACATATGAAATAATCTATTTATTAATTGATTGACTTTGATCTCACAGAGGAGATATTTACTTTATGTAGATATTAGGACTTGTAAATAATCAATTTATAGAGAGTAATTATTATTAAAAGTAGGTGTTCGCCCCAGAGCTCATATCTGAAAGAATTTTATCAACTATACCTTTTATCCAGGAAGTATGGATGAATGGATTAAATATATGCGTCTATTTGTTAGTAAAGAGGTTAGGAAAGTATAGTTTGTCTTTATTTAGAAAATATGGATGTTTTGCTTGTTAATTTTCCTGACCCTGAGGCTCTGGTGTCTATTCGCTTTTGGCTACTCCTCAGTGTACATTGGTTATTGCCTGGCCACGCCTCTGCATGTATGAATTCATCACGCTTCTTTTAGGGAGGCAATGGATTCTGCAGTAATAGAAACAGCCTCTTCTGATGACGCTATTATATCTGCTGTCCACCAGGGGTCTCTATAGAGCTGCTCTGTTTAGGGATCATGGTTCAAATCCTTTATTCTATCTCAGTATCCCAAGCTTTGAAAATCGGAGATAACAACGTGATTGAGTCAAAGGGTGAGTATTTTATTTATACTTTTTTTTTGTTGATAAAAAAAAAAAAAAGAAACAAATTTTGACCTGGCACAGCTTCTATAAACAAACCATAGATAACTCTCGTATGAGGTTTAATATCCCTTGAAATTTCAGCTTGTTTATTGTCAAACTGCAACCACCAATGACGATGCGATTTAAGTGACAGCCCAACACAAATAAGTACAACCTTAATTTTTATTTATTTATTTTTTTTATATAAAGATAAATCTGGAAGGCATTTATATTGAACATTAAACAAATGCAGCATATAAAACCACCGTATACCAGATCTTCATATAAACCTGAACATTCCAGAATCCCTAATTTTCATGGCACAATAAGCCCAATGTGTTGTTTGGTGAAAGGCTTTCTTGCCCTGCAAGATTAACATTTGATTTATTCCTTCTATAAAAAAGAATAAACAAAACTCACTTATATTAATGGGATGTATAAATGGACAGAAATACAGTGTAGGTTTAGCTTATATGTTAGATTAAATGTACAAAATCTAATTCTTTGTTTTGATAATTTCCCCACCTCTCTACTTCAATGTAAATTTACAAAGAGATTTTTCAACACTTACTTCAGACTTCGGATGCTTTTTCACCTGTTTTCTGTCCAGTGCTTCTACATGACAGCATATTTTGCTGTCAAGAACAAAAGGTGTGTCCAGCACAGTGATTGGTTGGTAGAAAATCAGAAAAAAAACTGATCATGGATTCCAGAAGATTCAGTTATCAACTGTATGCTGAAGGTTTTGATTAACGGCTCTTTGGAAATCACCTGGATGATGATGAAATAGAGATTTGAAAACAAAAAAGCTATACGATCTTTAAACTAATCTATAGATCCTTCAGATAAAAGACTGCAATGGAGAAGATTTCAAGAAAACCTTAAGATTTTTTAACTCTTACACATTTTATTAAGCCATTGCAACACACTTTACATCTGATTTGATATTATCAAACTGATATTAAATGAAAACTTGTCATTTTCTTCATTCCTATTTTATAAAGTTTATTTTTTGTCCTATTTTAACAATTTCACTTCAGCTGATGTTGGGAGAAATGTGATCCTGACTAACGGCTGCATCATCGGTGCATGCTGCCAGGTGAACACATGTGATGTGGTCCCGGATAACATGGTTGTTTACGGCTCCAACTGCATCAGACGCGTGCAGAGCGAAAAGCCGCAGGTCGGAACCTCAGCAGCTCAGGCAGACTAAACTATTGTCCTCTTGTGTTTATGACCTGAAATAAATCTTTATTTCATTTCACAGCCACAAACCCTGCAGCTTGACTTCCTCATGAAGATCCTTCCTAACTACCACCACCTGAAGAAGACTGTGAAAGCAAGCGGCACGCCTTTAAGAAACTAACCAGAGAACGCTGGCGAATAATTCCTCTCTTTAAGAGAAACTAGATATGCAAACACAAAGAGTCTAAAATGTCCCAATTTATGGTATTTTTCCCACCACAGCACCCCTCTGCTATTTTCTTAGGTTTATCTTCTGTTTCTGTGTGTAACAATGTTGCACCTGAAGTTTAAAAAGTTAATGTGCAAAAAAAGACATGAATAAAACTATATATCACAATAAATATTCAATCTAAGATCACAGATTTTATATTGTCTCTTTTATCACCACAAGATGGCACTGTTGAGCAAAAGTTTCTGTACATTTTAGGAGCTTTCATCTACTGCTTCAAATCAAACCTAATATGTGGTTATTTTTAATGCTACTAAATATAGAATTAGTATGGGGGTAATTTTAAACCAAAAGAAGATTAATATCTGAAGTTCTGATCTAAATATAGTTTCTGCAGTTGGCATGAATGGCAGCTGAATCTTTTATCACCAGCAATTACAGTGTAACACTGATGCACCCCTTTTCCTGGATTCGATGGCAATTTGTTCCCCTTCAAATTGGCTCTGCGAATGCAGCTGGGAATTCTTACTTTATTTTTTTATTTAATTGACACGGGTGTGGTTGCGCCTTGCATTTCTGTATTATTCTCCCTGGGGTGGTGCACCCATCTGCGCCCCACACTTGCAGATTTGGATGAGGATGGGTGCTTGAGAGGAAGCAGCGTATCACTGTCTGCAACACCTGGTAGAAAAGGTTCAGATGTTACTGTTTCCAGGAGGTGCAAAAGAAGTTCAGGGGCTCCAGAAAAAAATAAAAAACAAAAGAAGAGTTTTTAAGGGGCTTCATGTTGTGCTCAGTGAACAGAGCCCTCCACAGTACAGCAGTCCTCCCTGTTGGAGGCCCACAGCTGGTGTCACTCTCTGCCAATACTCATTTGGACATGTCATGGTGGAGTCCCACAAGGAGTCCACACCAACCAGGGGCTAATTATTTTCTGCAGGGGGAGTGCAGCCGGGGCCACATCTAGGCTCCTCATTGTTTTAATTTGGAAAGGAGAGCAGCTTTCCTGTGACAAGAAAGACGGATGCTGCACACAGTTGCACGGATGTGCAGAGTGATAAAGCCCTCATGGGGCGCTTGTGTGGCCTTTTAATCTGTACCCGCAAAATGGCTGTGATGATGATACCAACCCAAGGCAGGAATCTAAAAGGAAGTTCAGATGTTGCTCTAAATTTGGTCCTTGCTATTTATGCTGTGGCTCTCTTACTGTACTGTGTTCAAACTTAATTAGCCAGTTACTCTGATACATCTCAGGGCGTGTTCGCTTTTCTTTCCATGACCTTATCCCCCGCTCACATTTTAGTCATACTATTATCCAGCAGTCATTGATCAACTCAATAATGTGCTGTTCAAAATCTGACATACTGTACAGTGTTTCATAAAAGCACTCAAACCTCTTTTTTTTTATAGTTGCACCATACTTCTACAAGCTTTTATGTATTTTATGTAGTTTAAATGAAAGAGCATCACAAAGTCATGCATAATGGTGAAAAAGGATGGAAGAAAAGAGATTTGAAGAATGAAATATTCATTTTCATTAATGACCTAAAGTTTTATACAGACTAGGACCATCTTTTGCAACTACTGCTGACTTTCTATCAGGGTATTTCATGACTAGAGACTAAAACTTGAACCTTTTTCATCCATACAGCCATACCCACATGTCAATACAGTGTTGCGACGGAGAGTTTTCTTTTCTCTGGACCGGAGGTCTTCAACAGGGGTCCGCGACCCTTAGATTATTCACGGAGGTACTGAATGGGGTTCGCAAAAGTTTTGGTTGATTAGACTTTTTTTCTTTTTTTTATATTCCCCCCTACAACATTTTCCACTAACTGAAATGTCTTTAAATGCACATTAACATGAATTCAACGCACAACAGATAAATGGAGGCAGAAGATGTCTTTTAGTCATCAATGCACACATTCAGCGACACACAGCTTTCAAGCTGGGCACCGTTTCATTCACAACACCTGTCCCATCAACCAAAAATCAGAAATACTTTAAAAATCCCAGGGAGAAATTACTTTCCTTACATTACTCCATCTGTAATACAGTGACTATAGGACCAGTTTGATATAACAAAATTTCATATGATATATATATTTAGGGGGTCCCCGCTCCATCTTGCCATCAGTTTGGGCATCCTTGGCCTGGAAAATGTTGAAGATCCCTGGTATAGACCACGACAGGACAACTTTTCCCATTCTTTCTAAAATCGAATAAGCACAGATAGGTTAAACTGAACTTTTTTTTTTTTATTTACACCATTTATGTTGGTTAATAATATACAATCCAAGTAAATTACACTGAAGTTTTTTATTTTATTATCGCAAAATATGAAAAACTGCTTCTGGCAGTGATTAGTTAATATTTTCTTTTAATTGTTATTAAAATTATTAACCATAAATAAAGATCTCCTTTATTTTTGTTGCACCATGATGGTATTTTGAGCATCTCACTCACCTATACAGCTCATCCTGTTCACAGGCCACCAGTTGCTTTGGGAGGATAAAGGCTTTCTGACAGCTGACCTTTACATCCAGGTCCACTCCACCTTTTAAAACTGAAATGTGACCTATAGGCCACAGTGATTTCCATTGCAGTCCCACTGAAATAATTAATCACCTGACAACAGGAACCCAGAAACCACTGGAAGTTATGCCATTTTAGTCGGATCGGCTCTACAGAAAATGGTTTACCTGAACCTATATGATCACTTCGCTGCTTAAAGCTCTACATTTACTCAGCAGGGGGTAAATTCTCATTTTATCCTGCAGTTCTACTTTGGGCTTTAACTTTACAAATCTTCTGCTTGATCAGTTTGATCCAAGCATAGCTACTCACAGTCATGTTAATTCAAAGGTTGTGAAAATATGTGCAAAATGTACGAAATAATTCACCTAAAGTTCTACTACACTTTGTGATTGGTGCTAATTAGGTCATTTTAGCTTATTATGGTAATTTCACACTGATAATGAAGGTACATGTCAAATTTTCACCTAATTATCAAGTGAATGGAGGAGTTAAGAAGGGGATATACCTCTGAATTAGTCACTGAATTATTGATAACACATTTTTCATATTTGAAATGATACATACTAAAGAAAACCATAATTTCCCAACTATATTAATAAAAAGTAAATTTGGAAATAAGTAATTTATAGGGGATATGTGATTATTAACAATATATAATCAAGAATCTACGATTAAGCAACAGGACTGATCTTTATATTTTTTGTTTGCTAAAAGTTTCAACATGAGGCAACAATTTTTTCAGCATATATGTTTTTTATGGGTATATTAAAGTGATATCTGCATGGCACAAAATTATTTTAATATTATAGAAAAATAGTAAATAACAGTGACACAGAAATAAAGTTATACCAAATGATAAGTAATAGTTTCATTAAAATAAAGACACAAAATCCATTTTTTTTTATTTAATTAAGCTTGAACAGACATTAAGCTATTTTCCCTTAGTTGCATTTTAAAAAATTGCAACTAAGAAAGAGCTTTTTTTTTTTTTTTTTACTTCCAGTGATTCAGTAACTGAGACTAAATATTTGCAGTCTTTTAACTTCTACCATAAAAGCCATTAAAGATTTGACTGGAAATTGATCTTGATTTCGTCAACAACAGTGAATCAAAAGTTACAGCAGTAACGGAGGAAAATAAAACGATAAAATATCACGAGGAAGATTTAGTATGCAGAAAGTAAAACCCATAAAACTTGTCTAATTATATTCCTACACAAAACCTTGGAAAACAAACACGCTCTTTTAAATGCAAATTTATTTAGTGAGCATTAAAGGTGCTCAAAGAGGAAAAAAGACTCCAGGGAGCTGGTTTTACTTTAACCTTTTATGGGTTTCACCCTGCAACACTGCAGAACATATAACCATACATATCCTCTATTTGACCCGTGCTTAGCCGTTTTAAGACCACTCACAGGCAGTCAAAAAGAAGGTTATATTGCTTTGCCTAGGAATGTGTCAACGTTTGGGAATTTAAGCCTCAGAGACATGCCTAGCAATGCCTTTAGCCACCACTTAACCCTGACTGTTCATTGGACCATAAAAGCGTAATGTACAATCTAATGTTAGCTCAACCGTCGCCTCTTGTTTGAGTTTCAGAACAACGAAACCACTGTGGTGCTACGTGAGTAAATGGATATGCACTGTGGTTCTATATGAAGGTGGACCTTAAAAACTGTTAAATTCAAGCTGGCTTAATCATTTCTAAAAAAAAATTATATTATTATAATTTTTTCATGATGAAGTATACACTTTAAACCTTGATTTATTGTTTGATCCTACTTAAGCTTTAAAGTTGAATTCATAATTCTGTCAAGGATTCAAAGTTTCTGCTTGGTGATTTATTCCCAAGGTGGGATTTCCTGGAAGAAATCTTAAACTAATTCTGGCAGGAGTGAAAATGTGCATGGCCTTATGAAAGCTGTTCTCTGATAGGAACTGTATAACAGAAAAATATATCAGTGACTTTAAGTCTTCTAGTTTTGCTGCAGTGCATTTTTTTCAAACCCGCATTTTAAGCTACACCAGTTGCTTGGCCTGAGGATTTGAAATCGCTTTGATCCACCCTGAGATATTGTAATTTATTACAAGCAGTAAAAAATTAGCACAAATGTACAGATCCCCCAAAGAATGAATATAAATAACTTCACCGGGAGCTTGGAAACATATATCTTAGTCAGGTACAACCTTGCTCATGAAATTTGGCTCTCTTCATCTTCTTCTATTGCCATCTTCAGAGGTCAAGATGTGAATAGGAGTGCAGCACTGACTCTTGACAGGTTGCCCTGCATACACTCCCACCTATGGACAGTTTTACTGAACCAATTAACCTAACATGCATTTGTTTGAACTGTGCTGAAAATGCAGTGTCAACACCAAGAAACATAAAACCTACTCCAATCATTAAAAGAGGACCTGGCGAAGATTCAGACCCCTAATGATCTCACTAAATGTCATAAGTCTTAACAGCTACCCCATCGTACAAACATTTCATTCTAGTATAGATCAGATTAGAAGGAAAAGGAAAGTAAAAACAATGGAAAAACAATCTACATGTTTTTTATGGTACGTTTACTGAATATATTGGATAGTTCGAAATACCCAGGCTCAGCCCTTGCCTGGTAAGCATTAGCCTTGTTGAAAAGTT